GAGAGAGAGAGAGAGAGAGAGAGAGAGAGAGAGAGAGAGAGAGAGAGAGAGAGAGAGAGAGCTGAGGTAAACGATCACCCTTTGTGCAGTCGCTGCTTTAGCTATTTTGTGTTGTCGTTGTCACATCTGTTGTCCAGTGCCCCTTTTTCTTGTGCATTGGCAATGCCTGTTTTCATTTGTTGTGTTAGTATTCGCTGAAAAAAACTTTCACTCAGTGCTCAGATCTAATCTGTTTGCTTGGTCGTTCAAGATTGCAGTCATCACAAGCTAGTTGGCAAATCTCAGTCTGACTAATCCCAAGTACGTTTGAGCAGTTCAGCCACACTTTCTTTCTCAGTAAATTGATGTGAACTTATCATGCACGGAGTTCTGAGGACTCAGTCCTTTTTTAAAGGGGGTATCCCCTTATATACTATTATATCATCTTGATCCCACCAGAATTCGAACTCATGATCTGTGCACACACAGTTACATGTTTGTGCTTACCATTCAGCCAACTTGGGCAGGGTCTGAGGACTCGGCCTTCACAACCCATTCTGGACTTGCTTGTCACTTATTGCAATCTGTCTATCTCACCTTAAACCACCAGTACAAAAATCACCAGTACTGGTGGTTTAAACCGCAAGTACACAGCCCCACCCTTGCAGAAAGTATCTGTGGCCACAAGCAAAACTCGGAGGCCAGGCCCGCCATTGAAAAAAAAAATTGGTGGCCTCCAAAGTGGTGCAGGTTTCGTGCTGACACCCGCGGGCCTATGTGTGGTGTACTGGTGACCAGTACATCAGAGGCAAAAATTCACAAGTCTTTTTTTTTTTTTTTTTTTTTTCAGGAAAAGGTGAGTTGGTCCATTACCAAAAACATTTGAGGCCGGGAATTCCTCACAAACAACCCGGAGGTAACCAGTCACCAGGCTAGTGCCCAGCTTCAGTTTTATCTGATCCAGAGAGAAGACTCTGTACTCAACTCATTCTGATTCAATCAGGCTCTCTGCTCTTCTGCCTACCATTGAGCAACTACGAATATTGCCGTTCTGCCTAAACGGGGTCTAAACGGCCCCTGGAGCACCTCCCAACCCACCCAGCACTTCCGCTGTCCAAAACCATCGATGCTGTCAGCCTACTGCGACTGTTAGAACCGAGTACCAGGTTCTTACCTCCTATCTTCCTTAAGCCACGAGCACATCTCTAACTTCCCACTACCGTCTACCTTTGCAAGCCAAGACTTGCCGTCGCACCACGTTTCTGCAAACCATCTAAAATTTATGCCCAAGCATTGCCTTCCATGCCCTTTGCGATGCCATTCTGCCTGTATCTGTCTTCTGAGCCTCGACTTGATGAGAGACTTTGTTTCCACGTCCGACATTCCCTGTTATGAAAAACTGAGCGGTTCCGGTGTTCCCATAACGGAGATGACGACCGAGCGACAGACCTGGACCACGCACCCTTGTGCATCCCCTCCGGTAGTAGCCCCAAGAGGACCCAATCCTTGTCTCATTCCCATGACTGTTGAGAGAACCAATCTGCCTGTATCTGTCTTCTGGGCCTCGACTTGATGAGAGACTTTGTTTCCACGTCCGACATTCCCTGTTATGAAAACTGAGCGGTTCCGGTGTTTCCATAACGGAGAGACGACCGAGCGACAGACCTGGACCACACACCCTTGTGCATCCCCTCCGGTAGTAGCCCCAAGAGGACCCAATCCTTGTCCCATTCCCATGACTGTTGAGAGAAACCGTTCCAATGCTCCGACCATCAGCTCCAGATCCGTCTAGAGGCAGGGCAATCCCACCACAGGTGAGATGTCGACTCGAAGGGCCATGTACAGCGTCTGCAAGCAAGATTGATCTCCATTCCTTTGCTAGCTAGCCAGACCACTGATGAGGTGACTAGCCAAGACAGGGACCAAAGGATCGCAGCATACTTCTGGGAGGGAAGCTCCTTCAACTGTTGCCATAACGGATGGACGCTAACAGCCATCTTAACTGCGTCTGAGCCCACGAGTGCCTCCCATCTCTGGGTCACCACTCCCACTGGAGAGGGTTTAGGAACGATTAATTTTAGCGCAGGCACATAGTCTCCTAGAGCTAGCGTAGAGCCTCCCGCCCCTAATCCTCTCCAGCCCCAAGCTTCCGGATCCAGTTTCCGGGTGCTGATAGGCAAGCTATTTCCGCTCAATGTCACGGTGTTCTTTTCCTCCTTACCCCATACCTCGGTGACCCTGACTTGCTGTAACATGCAGCCTAGACCAGGGGCCAACAAATCGTCGTTTAATACCAGTGCTAAGGAGTCCAAGGTCAGATTCCATGCTTGCCATTGTCTTGTGCCTCCTTCATCATGGCCTGTGAGTTTCCAGACCACAGAATCTTAAGGGATGTACCAAGTGCCAGGGGGTTCGATTCCTTCTGGGCTCAGTAAGAGCTTCCAATGCTCTGGAATAGCTTGCACAATAAGAGATCTCTTGTCCTCAATGTGGTGGATATTTCCCAGTTGTGTGTGTAGATCCTCACTGGTTATCCATTGGCCTGTGATTTCATTCCAGAGGTCCTTGTTACGCAGAACACCCCTTTGAATCCAGCTGTCCCAAACGATCCGGCATCTCTATTCGCTCATAGCCGTTGGCTGTTAGTGTCCACAGTCATTGGGTTATCGAACAGGAGTGGGTTCCACCCACTGGTTTGGGCGAACTTTCTTCCAGGCAAAAATTATATTCGCCCAGAACTAGGAGCGTGTTCTGCGATTTAAAACGAGTCTTTTTTTTTTTTTTTTTTTCTTTTAACAAAACCTACCAATGTTAGTGTTGCTGATAAGAGCAGGCAGCACTAACACCTGGGTAGGGACTCCATCTATTGGTGGGGAGCATCACCTGCTGGAAACCGGGTCCAGCGTCCCTTTTACATAGTCTTTGTCTTTATAAAACTATGTGGAGATAAAAACTGCCTCTTCAGCCAAACCAGGCCGCCAGATACAATTATTAAATCTAGCAAAAAATTATCTCCTGGAAATAATCTAACAAATAGCTAGAGGTAGCAGACCCGCACAGTCGTAACTGCGCCCTCTTAGCCAAGTGGGTGACTAAAGCAGGTAACAACGATGGGTCGGATCATTGAGTAGTAATGGGGGAGTACATCTTAGCTTCAGAATGGAAGCTGAGCCAAACGTCCTCTGTGCGCTTCAACTTCCATTCTGAAGCAAAGATGTACTCCCCCATTACTACTCAATGATCCGACCCATCGTTGTTACCTGCTTTAGTCACCCACTTGGCTAAGAGGGCGCAGTTACGACTGTGCGGGTCTGCTACCTCTAGACCTCCCTCTTCTCTTGCACAACAGATCAACTCCCATGCCACTTTAAATATAAACTTCTCATTCTTGTCCCCATTGGGCTTCCAAATGAATCTTGCTGCTTGTCTACAAATAAAGTTCGTCAATGAATTTCTTAATAACCTTACCGTTCCTACATACCAAGGAGAGAGAACAAGGAGACATTTATTACTATAGCCCTTCCAAATTAAGAGAGATGGGGTGCAGATCCCCAAAATGTGACCCTTGCTACAACCTTGTTTTGCAGGATCTCTTCCTGGGTTCCTTGACAGTTGTCCATTGCAACCATTACCCCCAAGAACCTTTCCGACTCACCATGGTCTATTCTTTTCATTCCCCAATCTACCTTTAAAACCATTGATCGCGGTAGGAAATACACGAACTTCTTCCAGTTAACGATCGCTTCGGAGAAGAGTGAGTATTCTTTGAGTGCATTCAGTGCAGTCTCAAAGTTCTCGTAGATAGCAAACAGGTCGTCAGCGAGAGCCTTAACCTTGCAGTGGGACTGGGAGACCATTAAGCCCACAATTTCAAGTCTACAATGAATATTACATAGAATCACCTCGAGTTGCAGCACAAACACTAATGAGGCCAGAGGGCAACCTTGCCTGATTGATCGGGTGATGTGAAAGGAATCAGAGAGAAATCCATTTACCATGACAACTGCTGTAGAATGCATATATAGCACGGTGACCCAGCGGCAAAAAGGTTCACCAAACCCCATCTTGCGCAAGGTTGTAAGGACGAAAGCCCAGTTAACCCTATCATATGCTTTCTCCAAATCAAGGAGAAGCACAGATAGGGGTCTATCCTCTTTATCAATGATTTCCAAAGCCTCAATTGCCGTAGCAATATGGTCGAAGATAGATTGCCCGCGGATAAACGCGGATTGATCCCTTGCTACAAGATCAGGTAAGTAACGACTCAGCCTTCTTGCCAAGGTCTTAGCCAACAACTTATAGGACACGTTCAGTCTTGATATTGGACACCAATTATGAACCTCGTCCTTTTGGCCTTTTTTGTAGAGAAGCGTAATTACACCGTGTTTCATACTAGGGGTAAGCTCGCCGTCCGTTAGTATGTCGTTGTAAAACTTAATCAGTGGAGCTTCTAGCTCGGATCAAAACATGCTGTAGTATTCCATAGTAAGTCCGTCTGAGCCGGGGGCCTATCCCCTAGCCATGTCCTTTAACGCCTGTCTGACTTCCAACTCCGTGATCGGCGGTCAAGTCCTGTCGACACCCTTGACA